ATTCCGAATATGATAATCTTATTGCATGAAAACGTAGTTTTGATGAAGAAAATTGAGAAATACCGGCAGAATTCCAGCCTTTTTGCCCAGAATTTAGTAAAAAACGATTTTTCTCGACGAAGGAAAGAAAAGAGAAAAAAAGGCTCTGTAATTTGATGACAAGTGGTATGATGAATGGAATGAGATAAAATAATTGACTCCATCGTTTACGTAGAGAAACAACATAGCTTTACAAAATCGACCTATACCCATCATAGTCGACACAATTCGAAGCGCCACCATCAATATAGTTTTGCATCTAGAGTCGATTTAAGAACTTGTCTGTACTCAGTTTTTGATGCTGAATCTGAAAAAATTGTTTTCAGAAGCTGAAAAAAAGAACGAAGCAGAAAATTTCGCACATTTTGGATAAGATGTGTTTTTTGAAGAAAACGACATCCTTCGAGTATTTCGTATTTTTCGACCGGAAGAAAGCATTCACTAAGGCTAAAAAGCAGATATTCGTGATCAGCAGCTCAAGCTCTATCAGACGATGTAAAAAAAAAGGCAAAAAAATTTTTACTTGAATTTTGCACTGCCGGCACCTTAAAAAACTTTCATTTTTCAGACGAATTTACATATCATTCTGCGCATACAGTGTTAGTCCTGTAAGAAACATACTAAATTTTTGATGGGTTTACCAAATAGAAATAAATATTAGAATCCTTCTAGGGAAGCTGTTGAAAATGGGTGATAGAATAGAAAATTCGGTAATTTTTGAACAAGATGCTTCATGTTTTCGTAAAATATTACAAAGTTTTATATTTTTCTTACGATACTCAAAGTTGACATTCAGGTTGGGACATACCAAAACGTATTTTTGCGTTTTTTCTATAATGCTAAGCATACAGCTCATTTCCGCTAGTGGTTGTAATAGACACTTGCGTTTTCCAGTCTTAGGAGATTTTATTGGAACTATTTTTCTGCAATACCATCGTAAAGAGCACCAAACTCTTGATCAAATGTAGGATTTCTTTTCAGTCGATTTTTAGTAGTTTTTTCGTAAATTTCGTTTTTGTGATGCTTACAACTTTGTAGAGGAAAGTCATAGAAAATGCGAAGGCTCTTATTTTGTTCAGAATCTTGTGCTCTTTACGATGGTATTGTTTAAAACGATAGGTTCAACAAAATATTTTGAGACCTAAAAACTGCCACGTTCGACTTTCCAGAAATCTGTCATCATAGTTTATCTGTGAAATTCTAGTGTAGAATGCATTAAATAGAAAACTTTATTAGCTATTAAAATTACTGCATGTACATGCTCAATTCTTACAAATGTATAGTTCAGATTGTTACATGTACAAATATTTTGTCATGTGCTTAAATATGCATAAAGGTTTTACTTTAATTCATAAGGATGTAGGTCGTCAGTCAACCAACACCCACACCCTTCATTTCATTTCAGTTGTACCTTGGGTTTTTTTGGTAGTTCAGCAGTAGAAAATTTTGTTGCTTCTAATCAATATGGTGCAAAATTGTCAGATTTAGTAAAATTTTTATAATTCAGTCCAAAATTTCACAAAATATAATAGTTTTACAAATTTTCTGTCCATAGGATTTGACTAGAAACTATTTTCGTGACAAAAGCAGCCATATGGATAGTACGTGTTTTTTAATAAGGCTCCGTAGAAAGTAAAAGATCAATTCGCTAATACAACCAACAAATCGAAATTATTGAATCGGCCATGGTTTTGCAGCTGTTAGCTTTGATCAACAAGAATTTCAGAGTCACCTAGATTTTTCTTATGAAGAATTATCTTAATACGAACTTAAGAAAAGAAGCAATCAGACTCTTGAATTAATTACAACAATGGTAGGTCGAGAATGTGTGCACAAGAGAGGGCAGTTCAGCCAAAAAGAAGTTATCCAACACAAAAAGAACCTGCTTCCGAAACTTATTCGAGCTAGTATAAAGCTAATATACGTTTGACTTTAATGTGAAAAATCGGCAAAAATTTTCTAAGGAAAAACAACGGTTTCCTTTGCTTCATTTCCCTAGTATCCTTAAGTGTTGGATCAATTTTCAAAGTTCAGTTTCATTGATCGCTTATTCATCATGTAAAAACCAGATTATTTCAATAACAAAGGATGGCTTGCCTCACAACTGCATGTGTCAAACAATTATTCCAGTATAGAAAAACTGTCTCTTGCCAAGAAAGACACTCTTGTATTTTAACAGTTTATTCAATTTTGAATTTCTTAACTACGCTTTATATATCAGAAAATCTTATCCTTAAACACAATAGACTTTACTTCATGTAGAAGATTGAAGTTTCGTCATTAATAATCTTTATAATTTAGCGTCTGAAAAACATTTTTTATTATTATTTTTCAATTATGAAAATATGCATGTAAACACAGTCCAGACGTAAGAATGATGATTGATTATAAAAATATTATTTCAGTGGCGGATTTAGGGGGGGGGGGCGCTTGGGGCAATCGCCCCCATTCGAAAAAAAAATTTTCGATTTTTCCCAGCAGAAACGACTTAAAAATAGAGTGCATACTACTACTAATGAACTTCAAAACTCGATTTTTGGTCAAAATCGCCCCTTATCTATCAAATCGCCCCTTATCAAAAAAATCCTAGATCCGCCGCTGTATTATTTAATCAATGAAATTTGTCATAATGCATTGGTTTGATTTCTAAAGTAACTCGATAATAATGTCTAGCCCATATTTTAAGTATTCATTTTTTTTCTTCATTAAACTTTTATCAAACAGAAGAAACTATAAAATTCATTTGTGACATAGTACCATAATAATTTTACTTTTTCCAAAGGTTGCATTTTCGAAAAAAATCTCGATTCATTAGTTAACTATCACATATTCCGCATAGACATAATAAAAGCTCACAAAAGTTTCCACATAAGCCAAGAATATCACAGCAACAGTTTAAATCTGAACAACAACTACAGTCGGGACATGTGCAATTATTACAGATTAAACATGAAAATGATATCGATGTGAGAGCTTGGCAGTCGGAGCAGCTGCATGGCTCACAGTGGCAACAGAAATCACAGCAATAGCATTCAATACAATAACAGCAACAGGGTCGTATAGAATGTTCTATGTTTCTGCTTCTGGTGGTTGGACCAAATATATTTGTTTGCTGTTCATAGTAAGATTGCGGTGTTGCTGCTTGTCGTTTTTCGTTAGATTCTGAAGTTTCAGTCAGATTATTAGTTACAATAGAGGGATCAATGTCATTATTTTGTTGTTTCTGTTCATCGAAATTCTCTTTTGTTTGATTGTCTTCCATGATTAGTGAAGGTTGTTAGATAAAATTATATGTAAACAGAATTTTGCATGTTATTCGAGAATTTCAAATCAAAAATCTATTTTTATGATTTCATTATTGACATTAAAGAAAAAAAAGGCAACAAATGCAATCATTTGGTAACTGTTGCTACAACATATAAAACATTATAAACAGACTGAAATAAAAATGATTTCTTCAATACATCGATTACAAGAAACTAATAAACATGCGAAATTATATTGAAACTTACTACATATATGATTTTTTCTTAAAACGAGATAACATCAAATGAGATTGATTACGTACTACAGAAGAATATTTTAAATTTATTTTTATATAATTAGTACAGTTTTATGCTTAAGCATACATATGTTTTATATAAAATATGTATTTACAAAACATTGATACAAAATCAGGCAAATAAAAACCATAAAAAATAGTTTAGTAATAAGTGACATATTTGCATGACGCTGAGCACTATTAAAGATTGGTAGAAATGGATATCCTTGAAAATAATACGCTGAATACCATCCATCTGGTGATGGTAATCGCATATTGTTCATATTAGCTAATAAAATAAAGAAGAAAAAGCAAAAATTTTTTTAATAAAAAAAAACATCATTTATCCTTTTACCATAATAATAAGCACCAGATCCACTTGGATACGCATTATATTGTTGGGGGTTGTATGACCCACCACTCATAACATTGACAGGTGTTGGATATTGATAAGCTACTCCACCAACAATGAAACGATTGTTTTGCTGGGCATTATTATTATAGATATCAGCAGTATTAGTGTCATAGTATGATGCTACTGCAGGATTAAGTGCATAACTACCATAATTATTGTAAAGGTATTGACGGCGACGACGAACTTTACCCTCAACTAATACAGAGAAATTAGAAGAAAAGTTTTGTTTAATTTAATAGATCTTTTTTAAGAATTAAACGAACAGACCTTGAATAAGGGAACAAAGAATAATTGTGGCTAAAAATGTATTTAAAATTTGCGAACAACATTGCCATCTCATGGTGAATCACGCGTACGTGCAAAGCCAAAAAAAAGAAACGAAGCAAGGTTTTTTTCTTTCTTCACAACCTTGATGATTCCGCTTCTCGTCATTTTTTTACGTTGTTGTACGACCTTCTTCATTTTTTTTGTTCTTTCCTATTACATTATTCCGCGCCATAAAAAAATACATTTCTTGTCTCTTCGTCGTTTTTTTTGCTTCTCCTTCAAAGACGTATGTTCTGCATTACGTATGCATTTATATTTATATAGAGAGAGATTTCATTAACATGTATGTGGCCTTTTCTATGTATACATTGCAAGATTGTCTCGATTTTGTAATGAATCAAAAAGTAAAACTGTATGCCATTGTGTTATGATGTTAACTCATCATTGGTATTATACATAAAATGTTGATCTATTTTACAAATATGTTCTAATTTTTTTTACCCAATAATATAAAAAAAATTAATAAATTTATGCTATTCATTCTTTCAGACTGTCATTAAATGTCTTTAAGAATTTTTGAATCTGACAGAGAGTTCTTCATGTATTTTATAATGAATTCGAATAGCATTGAACAGTTGAAATATATTAATTATATACCGTTTATTTATTTTGACTGTACTTTAAATTGCAAATATTTTTCAGAGAATGATGATATAACGATAAAATTATTTTTATTAAGAAACTCAAAATAATGCTACAGATTAGCATTGAATCAAACTTTTCTAAATTTCATTTACATAGGCACAAATCAATAAAATCATTTCAAATAAAAGATTTTTATTAAAAGTAACAATAAAAAAACATTTTCAAAAACTTGTTATGATTCGGAAAAAGTAGAAAAAGAATTTGTCTTCAATTAAAACCTCTTCAAATTTCAAATAAACAATCTATTAATGGAGAATTTTTTCTTCATGAACAAAAATATTTACAGATTCGAACAAGAAAACCTTGTAAGTTTTTCTGATTATTTCATTAAACTAAAATAAAAATTCAATTAGAGACAAAACATTCATCTGAAAGATAATTTGAAACCAGTATCGAACTGAATAGGGGAGAAATTAGCATCTCCATTGCATCACAGATGGTGACAGATCTTATTGATATCGAATTATACATAGTATATGAATAATATCTCGTTCTAATAAAGGAACAATCTGGCTATTGAATAGCTCAAGAATAATTTATGTCAAAATCGATTGAATAAAACAATATTCCTATGATTATCAACGGAGGCTACAACATATTTCACATATTAATCTCCTAGGGATTGTCAAAGTCTTTAACGTCAACGATAAAATAATAATGATGTTTAAAATGTCAATTTATTTTTTATGAAAATCTTCTCTGATTTGAATAAGATAAAACAAGCTAAAATGTCGGATGCATTTGTTTGTAAAAGACAAAGTTCTAACCTGATTTTTATTTGATATAAAAGGTTTTCCATGTTTATTAATTAATTTTTAATACTGTACATGTTGATGAATAAAATCTGATTTTTGATCAACATAATCTTGAGCATAACATTGTAAATAATCAATTTTAGCTCCACATCTTTCTTCTCGATTAACTAAAACTCGATTTAAATGTGTTAAATTGAGTAAATGAGCTATTATTATTTGTTCAGCCGTTTCACTTTCAATTTAATTGAATCCATATATTGGATTTCGAAGTATACCTAACGATATTAATCATGATATACGACTTAATTCATTTCTTGATGAATATGAACCTATTTTATTATCAGACATATAAAGATATTTTAATGATGTTAACCTTGATTAGGTAATTTAGTTTGCTCAATGCCACAAATATTAATTATTAATTCTTGAAAAGATTTAGGTATATCTAATCGATTAATAAGTAGATACCTCACTATTAATGTTGCATTGTCTGATAATGATAAACTATTCAAATATTTTATCTGATTAACAAAATTTTCTGATATAAAAGTTATACGATTAAAATCTAAATGAATGTTTATTAGATTTGACAAACATTTAAAAATATTTTCAAATAAATCACGATCATTATCTGTATCAATTAAAATAAATTCTTTTATATTTTGCAATTCTTTTGATGAATTTACATCGCAAGTCATTCGACAACTACTAAAATTTAAAATTTCTATTTGAGGAGAATACTTTTCTAATACTATCCCTAATTAAGACCATTTTTAATTAAATTTTGACGAATGTTAAATTCATTCATTCGATTAAAATTTTTATAAATTTCATTGCTATCATAGAATTCATTTACCCATTGAACTGATAAATCTATTTGAATCATTAATGATGATGAATCAATAACATAATCATTATATTCTTTAGCTAAATTTTTAACAAAAATTTTTTATTGAATTAATTATTTAGTTAATTGAAAATTTCTCGTTTTCTTTTTCAATTCAATAAATACGTTATATACTGTTAAGCAATGAAAATTTTAATTGTTAATAAAAACTAAATATGCAGATTAATAGTAAAAACATTCAATTGATTATTCAAATCGCAACTCAATGTTCTGTTGAGCTATTAGTGAATTTTCGGAGTTTATGTTTTATCTTACAACTTCGACTTGAATATTTCTCGATTGATAGAAATAAACAATAAGAATTCGTCATCAAGAGTTAAAATCGTTTGATTCTCTTTTATCTTGAAAAGCAAATATCGAATAAACTGATTTATATTAATTATATGTATCAAAGACATTTTTACCACAGACATATATCAATATAAGAGTAACGAATATATATATTAAAAGAAATACTTTTTGTTAATTCATGTTATCAGAAAAAAATTTAGAGACTATATGTAAGAGACGAATCAACAATAGTTTCTTATACATTCCATAATGCTTACGTGGTTTTTCGTCTTTGAATTTTCATAATGCAAAGGTAGTACCGCCATTACAGAGCTCCGAGTCCAAACCTGAAGTTTTTTCCATTAATATTTGGCATCTTCCATGCATATAAGCCAGTGAATGACCAAGCTTTTAGTTTAATTAGTCGTTGTTGTCACGGAAAAACATAACTCCAGTTATATATTGTTGCTGTTCTTGTCATCTAGGGAGCTGCGGATTCACAAACACGTCGAGCTGGATCCGACAAAAGATAAAACGTTAGATTTAGACCTAAAAACAAATTAAAGGTCTGGACTTAGGATCGGATCCGGTCGGGATGTAGATCTGAAAGAAAACGTGGCTCTCTAACTACTGCGCCTTTTTACGTTTGGCGACACGAGTGCGTTTAATCTATAAAATCGCGTGGATGAACGGTCAATCGAATACAAAGAGATTTCATTTCTCCACTGTTTCTTTTTTTTGTTGTTGTTGTTGATAAAGGAAACACGAAAATCATAGTACTGACTTTGGCAGTTGATTTTGAGCAATAGTCGGAAGTCGTGTTTTCATGGTACTTTCAGCGTTAACGGAACTAAGCTATTGGCGATTGCCGAAAGTTCAGTCTGACTGAAGGCGAAAGTCCAATAAAAACACAACTTTTTGCGATGGTCAAAATCTAGATTAACCCGGAAATTCATTGACTAATCATGTTTGAGAAGGCTCTCTTTCAGCAATTTTTCTTAAATAGAGAACTTTTGCCAATAAATGATAAACGTCTTGTTAGGCAATGATTATGAAGAAAATCGCCTGAAAAGCGGGTAGCATTAAAGACAGACTTCATGGAAATCAGGCAACATGAAAAGACAGGTGATAGTGTCTGAGGTGTGAGTGTAGATGTGGGTATGAACGTTGATGTGGGCTGTTGCGGTGGATGAGAGTGTGGGTGTCGTGTGTGAATGTGCAATTGTGTATATATCGGATACGAACACTCGGAATCCTTGACCACAAGCACCCTGCATGACACGTAATCTATATGGCAAGCAACCTAATCGGTGATAACCTTACTCTCAAGCACTGTTCATAGCAAGTACTCTGCATGGCTAGCGTTGCCAGTCACGGGGTTCTCGAGCAGAGACACAAAAAGCTGAAAAATTCTTATCCTTTGACTTATGCTAATGTGAAACTAGATATCGCTGAAACTCCAGCGATAACCTATTTATTTAATAACATATGTATACGATTGTGCACTTGTTATTTTGTTGTTCTGTTTAAAAAGAAATACTAGCACTATGCTATGTTGAATGGAAAACGACTCACTACGTTATTAAACTAGTTTTTCTTGCAAAAAAAATACGTACTAGTATTGAAAAATAAACACCAAATTCAAATACACCTGCAACTACTACAATTACAACTACAACAGCTAGTAATGATTCCAGTTTGTTTTTATCCAATGATCCTGAAGATTTAGAGCAGATGAGTGACGAAATTAATTTTAGTGTCGATAATAATGAATTTAGCATGACTAGTTCTCAATCCGACTCCAATACAAATGATATTGGTTATTATGTATTAAATAAACTGAGAATTGATGATTATTGGGAATATTCTCTAGTAACAAATCATTTTAAACTCGATAAAAAAATATTCATTTTCAATGCTATATTCGGATGATCATAAACATTCTCGTCGATTCCTGATCAATTGGTTAAACGATAACTCATTTCTTGTTTATTCATCATATATTGAAGATGGTTATTGCATAAATTATGAATTATTTCGTAACGTACAAGGGTAAAAACTAGAATTATTCGTTGATAAACCTTGTCATCTATACAAGCATTCGAAACACTCCAGTACATCATTGAAAAGTCATATGAATTCATAATTTCATCAGAATTCAACTGTTGCTACCGCTAATTTTATATGTTCATATAAAGAGCCATCATTATTGATTTTATTGCTAATTGATAAAGACTGAATTGAGAAAATCTATCGTAATAAAACAATATTAGCATCAATTATAATATAATAATTACTTGTTCGCGTCAAAACATTCCTTTCAGCGGTCACAGAGACGAAACAATAGACGATGTAAGACAAATTATAAATGTAACTAATTCTCATTCTGGTTCAAATTTTATTGCATTGTTAAAACAATGTATTGATTCGAGTGATAAAACTCTTCGTGAATACATTAACCGTGGGTTCAAGAGTGCATTGTACACAAGTTCATTACTGCAGACTGAAATTATTGACTGTATGCACAAATATATTTTGAACGAAATTTAGCATCGAGTAGAAAATTGTTTGTTTTCTATCAATGTTGATGAAACAACAGACATATTAACGGCCGAACAATTAAGTTTTTCATTACGATATTATGATAAAAAAACAAACGATATAAGAGAAGACTTTTTAAAGTTCATAAAAACCGTTTCGGGCACGGGTGAAACAATAGCTAATATTATTCTTGATTATTTAACAACGCAAAATTTATCGTTTGATTATTGTATAGGTCAAACATATGATGAGGACTATATGGCCGGTATCTATCGAGGTTGTCAGGCATTAATTAAATAGAAACGTCTAGATGCAGAATATTATCATCGTTCTAATCATTGTCTCAATTTGACAATAGTCGATAGTTATAGTATTTCACGAATTCGTAATATGATGGAAACTATCAAAGGAAATAATTGATTTTTTCAACGATAAACCAAAATGAATGTTCTCTCTTCGATCTGAAATTACGGCAAATCAAAAAGAATATATTTGTTAAGAAATAAATAAATGCGGAAACTTCGGATTTAAATCCGAGAGTTATGTGTACTTCAAAAAGTGGATCATACGAATCAGTCATCCTAGAATGTCTGAACACCAAAATTATACTGGGAAAACTAGCATTTCAAATTTTGATTTTCATTGCGCGTTGCCAAACCAATAGGACTTGGGATCGAACACAGCTCAAGTTTGAAGTCTTTCCCTTGATTTACCCTAAAACAGTCATTTTTCCTATAACTTGATTTCTATTGGCCACTGCACAACCAATAGTATTACGTTGGGAATGCAATACACATTCGAGTTCTCCATCTCTGAAAACCTCGAAACATCATCACTGTGATCGGGAGATAGAGCTCGATTTGTGGATCAATTAGATCGTGAACCAAAATATGGCCCAGTTCTCTTTAATTATTCTTGCGATAGGTGAGTCAACCTTCTTATTTCTTTATGTTTTATACATCATTTTGTAGCTCTTGAAATTCTCTATCGAATGGTATATAATAGTTAGGATTTTAATTGTCTATGATAGGAAAACTCTTTTACGAAAGCCGCGATGGGTCTATTTTTCCACAGAAAGCTATAGGTAAAAAGGGGCATTTTCGCAATAACTCTGGAACGGCTCGGCCAGTCCTTCTCACCTTCAAACTCGACCGAGATATTGTCAAGACTAAGCTTTGTAGAAAGTTTCATCGCAATCTGACTCTGTTGTCAAAAGTTATCATGTGAACAGCCAACCGGACGCACGGACACACTGACTATTCTATAGTGTACTCACTTTTCTAGTACACGAATCTATGATTCGGTTCAAAACTAATATCAGATTCAGAATCAGCGTTAAAAACTGAGTCGATTTATGTATTTTGCGAATAATTATAGGCAAAAAGTTTTTTTTCGAAAAATCCCCGTAGCCCCCTCAGGGATGGTCTGGTCAAAAATCACAATTTTTTCGATAACTCAGTCATTTCTTGACGGATCCTTCTCATCTTCGAACTCGACCGAGATATTTTCAAGACTAAGCTGTGTAGAAAATTTCATCGCAATCTGACTCTTCTTTCGAAAGTTATCGCGTAAACAGACGGACGGCCGGACACACAGACCGATTTTACTAGTATACTCCCTTTTTGAGTACACTAAAAACACGTATTGAATTAATGTGATACTCATTGGGTCGATAGAAATATGTCAATTGAAACATTTTTAGAATTATATATTCCAATTGTTAATACATTAGACAAATTTAGATATGGAACATTGAAAGATTCAACAGCTGAGCAATTGTATCATACCATAATCAATTTTCAATATGTAATTTCCACTTGTATTTCATGATTTTTATTATGAGATATTGATCCCATTAGTCGTTTACTACAAACACAAACATTGAACTTTTCATCAACTAATTGATATGTCGATAATTTATTAGATATATTAGAACAACAAAAACATCAAGGTCAAGATTATTTTCATAATGTTGCTTATAGTCAAATGTTGATGAATTATGGAAAGAATGATTTGTCACACTATCTATTCCGCGTCATTCAATAGTAGCTTTGCGAAAAAACAATACGTTAATTTGTGATCCAGAACAATTTTATTATGATTATGTTTATTTATCATTCGTAGACCAATTAATTAATAATATCAAAAGTCGATTATCTGACGTTATAAGTGAGAAAATTATTTTATTAATTAAATTATGACCGGAAGTAATTATAAATGAAAAATCGTGTAAATTAACAAAATATTTATTGAAACAATTCGCGGATCATTTACCATCACCATTGCGATTAAATTCTGAATCAAACAGTTGGCAAAAAAATATAATGATTTGCTTAAAATGGGTGATGCTTGGAGAAAAAAATGGTTAAATGGACTAATTAAAGACACAGACAATTTATTTTATCCAAATCTTCGTTATTTACAAGTTTTCATGGCAACCTTGCCTGTATCAACAGTTTCTGCTGAAAGAAGTTTCAGTCAATTATCCCGAATGAAAAG